CTGAAGTAACTGATGATGCATTTACTTTTCTTTCAATTGCGCTCAAGCAAAAAAGTAATTGAATTTTGATGATTCATTATTGTTAGATTATCTTACATTCATATCGATTCAAGATTAAATAAACAACAAAAAATGTACTTTACTTTTTTTTCCTCATCAACGTTAAGAGAAAGCCTGCATAGTGATTGCAACGATTTCTCAAAAGATCGTGAACAAAATCGTGCAAATTGATAAAAACTATCAGTAGTAGCCTTTAAATCGATTGATTTGTGTTATTTCAACATTATCATCACTTATTCATAGTCATTGTAGAATATTAAGCAAAAAGTTGTTTTCTTGTGGTTTTGAATCAAAGCATCGGACGGTCGAGCTACTGATTAAGAAGAACATATTGGATAGAAATTTTCTGGTGTTGGCAGAATTTATTATTTCTATGCATTCTATAAAGTAACAAAAACAATCCTAAAACAGTAATGCCACTTTTCTTTTCGGTCCATTAGCGAACATAATTCTAAACGATGAAACAAAGTAGATAATTCAACTTTGTGTTAAAACCAATTACGAGAGCGTAACTTTCGCAGATATGGTAGAACCTGTTGAACCTGATTTTAACCAAAAACTCACAACATAGACTTCTCCAGCTGTAGCCATAAATTGTTGACTAATCCGATCAGCACATCCATTACTTCCATCACATAGATGATCATTTCCACTGTGAGGAGAATAACTACCACTACATATCTGGCCTGCTGATCCAGAGCAAGACCCATACGGTGTTGTTCGTACCCAAGGTGACAGAGAACCAGTTTCAAAACCTGTATTAGTCAACATTTGAACAGCTCCAGCATATACTGACACATCATCAAGAAACCAGTAGTGTGGATCATGACGTAATTCAAAAGCAAGAGTAACTAAACCTGTAGTAGGTGATGTCCATTCATATGCAAAACATGTGTACGAAGTTGCACTGCCAGATGATGTTGAATATAGTGTACTTGCAGAGCCAACAGAAGTTGGTGTACAAGGAGGTGTTGGAGTTGTTGCTGTTAATTTCGATTAAACAAGTTATAGAAGATGAATAAACAAATACATAACTCACTTGTTGTAGTTGTTCTAGTCGTCGCTAGAATGATTAACAAAATATATTATAGGAAAACAACAGTATTATCTATTTTTTTTGAGAACAATAAGAAGTAATTATTTGAAATTTATAATAACCAAACATCACATCGAAACATTTGAAAAAAAGATTTTCATTTTATTGAATTTACACCTCTCACTTACTTGATGTTGTTGTTGTAGTTCGTGCTTGAAAATATGCAAATCAAAGAAGAATACTAATACGATCATAATAGAAAGGAAATACTCACATGTAGTTGATGTTGATGCTGTTAATAAAGAGAAAAGAGGATATGATTGATGATAGAAAAATCTACTAAAAGACTTACTTGATGACGTGCTACTTGTTGATGTGGTTGCTAAATGAATAAAAAAACACATGATTGAAAATATTAACAAGCACAAACATTTTATTTACAAATAAAATCAAATACTGAGAGTGAATTTTTTTTTTAATGCTTAGTCTTTACTTACTTGTAGTAGTTACACTAGTTGTTGCTTAAAACATAAAAATAAATAAATATTTCCTTGTTCATTAGTAAAAAAAACTTATTTACACGTAGTTGATGTTGATGCTATTAATAAAGAGAAAAGAGGATATGATTGATGATAGAAAGATCTACTAAAAGACTTACTTGATGATGTGCTACTTGTTGTTGTTGTCGCTAAATTGATAAAAAAATATATGAGTGATTTTAAAATACATGCACCTTTTTTCGTTACAACTAAATAGAAAATTTAGTTGCTCTTAAACTCTCCATCTTTACTTACTTGAAGTAGTGACACTAGTTGTTGCTTAAAACATAAAAATAAATAAATATTTTTTTATTCATTACTAAATTAAAAAAATTTACAAGTTGTTGATGAAGTACTCGTTGATGTTGAAGCTATGATGAAAATAAAACAATTAAAACTAAGATATGAAGTATAACTTGCTGGTTGATGTTGTCGAAGTTGTTGTAGTAGCTATATACGTCAATGAATAAATCAACTCGCTGCAAATATTTTAAAAAGTGAAACTTACTGCTAGTAGTTGTCGTGCTTGTTGTTGTAGTTGCAGCTAAAAATTAATCGAAATAAAAAACGAACTACTATTTGTAGAACAGTTAATGTTTTATACAGTGCCCCTCGACAGATCTACAGGGTGTCTGAAAAGTAGCTCCCTATTTTAAACCCTTGATTACTCTCAAACAACAGAAGATATTGTAACGGTTTTCTCCCTGCTTTGCAGCATGTATCATGAGGTTTTGTTGTAGATGAAACAAGCCGATTGATTGTTTGACTCTCTAAGATCCAGTCCGAATTTCGTTCTGACAATATCTGAAAAAAATCATTATTTTGTGTTGTTTATTATTCTTGTACTAGAACCCAGGATGTTGGTGTGTCAGTTTAGGTAAACATTTTTGCACTGTCCAAACACACATCACAACTCTACATACATATCCACATGCATATCCCATACCGGTACGTACATCCACACCCACACTCTGGTTCTAGTACAAGAATAATAAACTACACAAAATACTGATTTTTTTCAGATATTGTCAAAACGAAATTCGGACTGGATCTCAGAGATTCAAACAATCAATCGGCTTGTTTCATCTACAACAAAACCTCATGACACATGCTGCAAAATAGTGAGCAAATCGTTACAATATCTTTTGTTGTTTGAAAGTAATCAAGGATTTAAAATAGGGAGCTACTTTGCAGACATCCTGTAGCTGGCTCTCCTGATGTTTGTGGCTATTGCAACATATACTATGTGTATTCGTTCCCAAAAATATAAATTTATCCTTCTAAATTTTTAAATCGTTTGTCTAGAAGAGGAAACCTAAATAAAGTACTAATAAGAATATACTAACTTGTGCTTGTAGTTGACGTTGTTGTTGTTGTTACATGTTTACTTGTGAAAATAAAAACTAGAAGAGCAGTTATACCAAAAAGAGCTAATAAAATTCCAATAATTGTTGAAACACAACAACAGTTCGAGTATGCTGGACAAAGTTTACAAAGACGACGACGACGTCGATTTTTTTTATCAGTTTGGTTATTTTCAATATTTTTTGATGGTTTCTTTATTTCTCTTTCAATAACTGCGTTTGTATATCGACGACTTCTCCGATTTGGTTTTTGTTCTCGATAATCTTCAATTGATTTTATTCCTGATAAAACACTTGAGGTATCAGCATTCTCGAAAAAAGTGAAGGATTTATTGAATGATGATGTCTATAATAATTATAAAATAATAGAAAAAACAAATTAGGAATTAAGAAGAATAGTTACTACTGAAACGGGATGATTTTGATCTATAATTGATGAAACTACTCTTGGATGATTAATATTTGTTTCATTTGTTGATGAAATTTCTTGCTTTTCGAGCATAGATGAATGAATGACAGTTGGAGAGTATGTTTTTGATTCATATTGATCAAATGGAATTGATTCACTTCTCACTTCGTCTATCTTTTGTTTAATAGATAATTTCTAAAAGAAATAAATAAAAGAAATTTGCACAATTACATAAAAATAATCAACTTTTAGCTTTTTATAATTTTTAATACTCAATAGAATTTTTTTTCATCGAAGATAATAGATTTTAGTTGAGACCACGTCATTTACCTGTTTTTCTTCGTTATTTTTATTATCGTTTTGCAGTATTGAAAAGACCGTTTTAGTTCCACTTGATGAATTTCTATTAACGGGTTTCACCTTTATTCTCATCTTAAGAAGATAATTTCAATAAATTAAGATAAATTATCTGAAACAATTTACCTCTCTTCGATGTTTTTTGCGAATATCTGAGTGAATATCTTTGCGTGAAACTGAAACTACAGTAACTCCAGTTTTTGCTCTTTGGTTTGACATTTTGTGCATTTGTTGTTTTGCACCGAATAATGAAATAATGATTGTTAGAAAGAATTGCAACTAATCTTTGATGAAATAATATTGTTAATGTCTTCACATGGATTGTGAATTAAAGTTGAAAATACATTTCAAAGGTATCCTTTTATGTCGATTCGCCTCTACCGTATATTCAAAAGAGGTGTTGGACAGCAACTACTTTTTTTTATTGTTTTGATACATTGATGGCTGAATCTTATGTAGAAAGTCGTAAACATATAAGAAAGAGAACACAAACGCGTTCACAATATGCCTTGTATAGAGCGAACATTTTGATTATAATTAAAATCGCTGTCATAGGCAAATCTTATAAGAACGATGAATTTATATTGATGCACAAAATTGATTTACTGAGGTTGTTCTCTATTTTTTTTAATCAAGCTTCATCCAAAGAATCAAATATACAGAACAAAAAAATGCAGACATATTTATATAATTATAATAAAATTTTCAAGAAACTCTCAGTGCTTCTGTTGGATGAAAGTAAACTTTGGTTGATTGTAAATGAAGTTTGCATCCAGTTACATGCTTTAGGATGTGTCATCAAGTGGAAATATGTATTGAAGAATGATCTTAGATTAACAGTTACTTATTCTTTACTTATATGCGCATCATTATTAAAAAGAAGCGAGGATAAGCTCAATAACTTGACAACCGTAACAGCTCGCGACCTGCAGTTTTCAGCAACCAAAAGCGGAGGCCATGGGTTTTACTGAATAAAATACAGGATGATGAAATCATTCTGAATACTGTCACCTATGAAAAGTTTTCCTTAGCACACAGAGTAATCCTAATATTCTAGAAATATTTCTAGATTTGCTACATATACAAATCGTATAATAAATGAGATTTTGTAATGATGCTTTTTATATCCAGATACATAATTCAATATAATTCAAAGTTCTGCTACAATATTCCATTGTTACATTTGTTACTACGAATTATATATAAATAAACATATACGTATACGTACATTTTTTTCATAGACTGTTTTATGCTGAGAAAAAAAATGATGTCAATTCTACTACAATTCATTTGACAACGCAAACATCTTCGATACATCAAAAACGAAAATTTTCTTTATTTGATTGTTGTTCAAATAAATATGAACGAATACGCTAGATCAATCACGATAATATGAGCAATTGTTGAAAAAATACCAGCGTTTGTCTATAAATAAAATTGCCTATCAATTCATTTTGAACTTTTTTTGCGAACAGCAACAGAAATAAGTAAACAGTAGACAATATATATATTTATCTGTTTCAAGAGAGAAATGTTAGTTTGAATGAAATATGAATGAAACTGATGTTCATCTTATCGACCTATCCAATGAGATATTGCTTTATATATTGAACACACTTGACAATACTAATGTCCTGTATTCATTAACGGATGTTTTCAATAAACGAATTGACATTCTATTACAGATAAGGTTTCCACAAAAATATTATAAATTTAATCACAAAACTGTCAAGTGATGTTAGTTGTTCACTTGATAAATCAATACTTGATAATTTTTATATTGATTTATTACGAAGCATTAATCACCATGTCAAACATCTTATTCTCGACTTTGAATATATGGAACACGTTTTACTTGCAGACCACTATCCAAATTTGACTGATCTCAAACTTTTTCATATGGAACAAGAAATAGTTTTACATCATTTTACAGATAAATACTTCATACATATATAATTCATCAATGAAAAGATTAACATATATAGTAGGATTGAAAAAAAAGCAATGTATCTTATTTTCTTGTTTACATGAGTCAATTTTTCCACATATTTTCAAATATCACATAACAGAACTTATTCTTCAAAATAATTATAACATAATAAGAAATTAGTCATATGAATATTATATTGTCAATGTTTATGCACATATATTCATTTGCTACGAAAATCTAGAGCATTTGAGTATTGTTGGGCCATCCATTATTGATTATCCACCGTTGTCAATTTGTCATTTACCATCAACCACTTTTCTGTTTGATTCTTAGAAAATTATATATTAATGTGCATACTTTTGATGAATGCGTTTATTTACTTGATGGTATTCTTAAACAACTCACAACATTCGTTGTTAGAATTGATGATATCAACAATACTTAATTGTCCATTGACAATGAGGTGAATTTTTTATTTATGATTTTCTTTTTTCAATCATGTCTTAAAACTAATCAATAAATCGATGAATGATTTCTTTACTTTACTTTACTAGTAAACAGAGTGTATGTCACTCTAGATTAGTTGTATCATGTTTATTCTTACTTTCACTTCTATATTTACATTTTTTATCTTTAAGTTTAATGATGATCAGTTGTTGGATAACTACTAACTGTAAAACTTGTATTGACCAGCTACAAGATCACAGAAAGGTAATAAATATCTGACAATATAAGTGTCAATTGAAGTAATTTGCGATTTGTAAATGAGTTGATTCAAATCAAATTGAATTGTTCGAAGTGTCCAAATTAGGTAATCTTGGTCTTCGAAGACTTATGTTGCGAAGAAGGTGACATGTTTTAAAAAGTTGATGAAAGCTTTTCGACATGACGAAACAAAACCTATAAGTGAATTGTAGGAACTTTTCAGTCAGGAGAAGATGTTTTGTCTTTACAAAAAAAAAACAAATGAAATTGTATTAAACTTGACTGAGCACTTTCGAGGTGAAGAATTTCAGAAGATTATCGATTTAGGAAAATTTTCCATCAATGATTTGTAGATTCAGGCTCCTTATTTATAAGAATATTTGGTCAAACTTCAAAAAAAAATGTTGTTAGTTTTGGAAAAAAAGTTGCTGCCAATTAGAAATATACATTGTAAAAATCACGGCAAACAAATGGGGGGTTAGGATCTTTCACCAAGCATTTGTTAATTATCGATATTATCTACAGTTGTATTTCTTAGTATTTGATGACTTCGGTAATAGCTGTTGATTGTCTTTGTCTAAAACCTAAACACAAGAGATTTCAAAACGATAAATGACTTGTTGAAAGACAAAGAAGTTAAAATCTTGATTGGATTAACGATAGCGAACGTAAGTTGTCTACTCTTAGTCCAAAAGAAAACATTTAATAATCTTGGGACAATTTTACTTACATCATTTGTTAGTAACAATAATATGAGTATGGCATATTCCTGCTTTAGACTATTTGGTAAATAACCTATATGGAACATAAATAATTCTTGAAACCATTGAAAACAGGTGTTTGCTTCACAAATATCAGATATTGTGTCTTTTCAATTAAGGTTTAACCTATATTTGTAATAAAGTAATAAATAATTCAATGATTAAATTTCTTTCTATGAATTGAATAACTTTATAAAAAAGTATGCAATTCATGGAAAATCTGTATAGAGAATTCGCTTTTAACAATTTTATAATGATCTTAATCTAAAATTTTCAAATTTTTATTTTAATGTCTGCGGTGATTTGTTTTTACAGTAAAAGTTAAGTAAAGGAAATAAATAGTTTTATTTATCATTTTAAACAAATATATGTTTCATATTAAATCTAAGAAAATTTGCAAACAATTGAAAATTGAATAGAATAGTTCGATTCATACTTGACATGAATTCATTTTTTTTTTGATAACTAACGAAACAATACTTGAATAAGATATTAAATAACACTTTATTTCAATCAATACCTTAGAATTATGAAGTAAATAAAATGACAATAACTGTGCATATATATATTTATTAGTGACTGATATTTTGATGTCATTTTAATATCATCTTAGTATGGATAGTAGTATCGTTTAGAATTTCAGTATAAGAATTTCTCTAAAAAGAACACATTCTGCAGTAGCTTCTCAGGAAACTGTAAACAACTTGTTAATAATTCATTCATTTACTTCATTATTCTATTCCGTTATGATCGTTTATTTAATTCCTATTAGTTAAAATTGCAACATGCAAAACTTTAACACTCAAATTTATAGTTTCCTTTAGTTTCGCGAGTGATGGGTGAAATGTACCGCAGATGTTGAATGAAAGTGAAGGCGTGATAATCAGTGTTTGTTATTAATACCTTTACCGTCACTATCACTACATACGGTGACACCTAAACTGTTTTGTCCTAGAAAAGATGTTTGATTCACTTTCTTCAAACTAATTCGATAGAAAACATCGAAATCTCTTCATATTCATAATGCAAGAATGTTTGTCATCACCAATGCGTTTGTAATTCTTAACCAAGAGTGGCTATTCAATTTATTCATTGCCATCATTAGTCTTTATTCTATTCTTCATTAAACGATATGAAAGTGAATTTTCTTAGAAGAGTCTGAAATAATAGTCTTCGATTCCTACATATTCAGCATTAAGGTAGTCGATTTCTGACAAACCTTTCTGTTATCAAAATCACTCTAAAATGCATTCGACGACTCATATGGCATAGATCTTTGAAGACTTTGGTCTAAGACACAATTACACAATCAATTTAGTTTGATCCCACTTTACAATTTTTAGTTTGATCTTCAAATTTTTTTTTAAAATTATTATTCCAATAATCATTTTGGGAAGAAGCTCAAGTGACTTGTAATCCATTTGTTTGCTTTTTCCTAAATAACAATCAAGCAAACAGTTATTCAATTTCAATTATTCACTGTCGGAAGACTACATAATCTACACTCATACTGATTCAAGACTAAAACAAATAACAAAAATATATTTTGTTGTTTTTCTCTCATCAATTATGAGGAGAAACACTGTATTATGATTTCAATGATTGCTTAAAAAGTCCTAGAATCAGATTATACAAATTTATGAGAACTATCAGTGACAGATCTTTCAGTAGGATTGTTTCTTTTCATACAGTATTCCATCTTTCGCAATGAAGTTTGACAGTCTCGTTTATTATTAATGATGATAAATTATGTGAAATTGCATTTTAATATTATCATTATTTACTAATAAAGACATCAGAATATTGAGCGAAAAAGCAACGCTTTGTAATTTTGAATTCAAGCATTAAACAATGGAGCTACTATTTTAGAAGATTATATAGAGTAAAAATTTTCAATTATGAACAAAATTTATTATTTTCATGGATCTCATAAGAAAACAACAAAAAAAATCATAAAGCACCCACATGATTTTCCTTTTTGGTCTATTTTCGCAGATGATTATCAATGATGAAACAAAGTAAATGATGCAATTATCTTGTTGAGATGAATTACGAGAGCGTAACTTTCGCAGAAATGGGAGAACCTGTTCTGCCGGATTTTAACCAAAAACTCACAACATAGACTTCTCCAGCTGTAGCCATAAATTGTTGACTAATTTGATCAGCACATCCATTGCTTCCATCACATAAATGATTACTTCCACTGTGAGGAGAATAACTACCATTACATACATGGCCTGCTATTCCCGAGCAAGACCCATACGGTGTTGTTCGTGCCCAAGGTGAAAGAGAACCAGTTTCAAAACCTGTATTACTCAACATTTGAACAGCTCCAGCATATACTGACACATCATCAAGAAACCAGTAGTCCGGATCATGACGTAATTCAAAAGCAAGAGTAACTAAACCTGTAGTAGGTGATGTCCATCCATATGCAAAACATGTGTACGAAGTTGCACTGCCAGATGATGTTGAATATAGTGTACTTGCAGAGCCAACAGAAGTTGGTGTACAAGGAGGTGTTGGAGTTGTTGCTGTTAATTTCGATTAAACAAGTTATAGAAGATGAATAAACAAATACATAACTCACTTGTTGTAGTTGTTCTAGTCGTCGCTAGAATAATTAACAAAAAATATTTTAGTGAAAGACAAAACTATCTTTTCTTTTAAGGACAAGAAAAAATGTTTCTAATTTAAAGTCACCAAACATCTCATCGGAATATTTAGAGAAAAGATTTTTATTTTCAATTCTATCATAACTGAAAGAAAACGCTCACATATAGTTGATGTTGATGCTATTAACAAAGACAAAAGGGACAATGATTGAAGGTAGAAAGATCTACTAAAAGATTCACTTGATTACGTGCTACTTATTGTTGTTGTCGCTAAACGAATAAATAAATAGATATATTGAAGATTTTAATAAGCATAATGTTTTTTCGTTACTAATAAAATGAAATATTAAGCAAGAAAACTTTGTTTTTCAAAGATCTTCATTCTTACTTACTCTTAGTACTAACTACATTGATTATTGCTAAACCCTTTAGGCCCATTGGCAACTGTAATCGCCAGTTTTAGAAATATTGCAAAAGATGCAGAACGCGTGATATCGGAAACCTTTTCACACATCGTGTGTAGAGAATTTTCTTAACTACCTATTGGAAAAAAAACAATTTTGTTTGTTTACTTGCCTGTAGGATGTAGGCTTCATAGAGAAGACGATTATGAGATTATTAAAAAAGGACTTATATAAAATGTTAACTAGAGTTGCCATTAAGGGCTAATGGCAGGACAAAAATATTTAGAAACTCTCGTCTAAACGCAATAGTTGTTAAAATTTGTGCATAGATAAGTAAATAGGTTGCCGTTATACATAAATACGAGCATCATTTGTTGCTATGTAAATGTTTGCTGTAGGTGTTGGTGGGTGTCGGACAAGAAAAGACTCAAACCACACTCACACCTCTATGCGGTGTAAATAGTTAAAAGATAAAATTAAATAAATATTTTCTTATTTATTACTGAAGAAAAAAAAGACTTACACGTAGTTGATGAAGTACTTATTGACGTTGATGCTATTAATAGAGAGAAATGAGAAAATGATTGATGATAGAAAATATGTTAAATAAAATTTACTTGATGTCGTGCTACTTGTTGTTGTTGCTAAATGAATAAAAAACACATGAAAGATTTTAATAAACATAAATTTTTTTCGTTACAAATAAACGAAACTTTATGAAAGAAAACTTTGTTTTTTCAAAAATCTTCCTCTTTACTTACTCGTAATAATAGTTGTAATGACTGACGTTGTTAAAGGAGAAAATAAATAAAAAATATTCAAGTAACTTATTAGATAAACTCTCTAATCGAACTATTCAGAACTATTTTTTTGGAAATAAGATTCAAAATAACTTTTGGTTTTTATATTCTTGATAAAAACACTTCAAATTTAATACAAGTACTTCCCGTTTTCAAAACATTCTCAATGAAGTTGATGTACTATAAGTTCATTCTGTCACTCATTTGTCATCGTTTGAGTAGTTACTGCCACTGAAATTGTTAAAATTACAAGTTTGTATTCTATTGGTAATATATTCATAACGATCATAAAAACTTATTTATAGTTAATGTAGTTGTTTTTATTGTTGGCGATATTGAAAGATCCACAAGAAAAAAAGACAATTTTTATAAAAACTAACTTCATTTCAACCGAAAAATATTTAGAGTATCACTTCGTTATACAAGTATCGCAGCATACCTGTAGAATTTATAGCATTTGCTGCTGATGTTAACCAAAGTGCTATTATTGTCGCCAATGCTACCCCACCAAATAATAAACCAATGATGAAGCATAGAATACATAAGCAGTTTGCGGAATAAGTCGTGCCAAAACATCTTCGTCTATTGTCAATAAATAAAAATATGTTCATAGAAAGAGAAATAAATGCAGATAATCAATTTTGGATTACAAAATTATATGAATTAATTGTTTGAATGATTTATTGACAATATCGGTAATACTATTCAGTGGTTGTAGATTCAGTCAAGTTGACTCAGAAAATTTACCTTTGAAATTTTTTAAAACAAATCCATCGATTCTTCCAGTACAACATCTACTTGAGTCGGTTTTAATGGGTGGTCAAGAACGAATATCATTGTTAATATTTCGAATACTCTCTCTTTGTTCTTCTCTCTATGAAAATATGTCTTTCTATGAAAAGATAGTGCTTGAAATTCTGTGCAATATGTTATATTATATTTAACATATATAGCACTCTGAAATATTTTCAATCAAGAGTAATTCTGTACGGAAATCACATAGAAAATGTACAATAATTTCTTTTTCAAGTTCTTTGAAAGCATGTTTCATTTTGTCTATGAAATCGATGTTTGTCTGAGTCTGGCTCTCGTTCAGAGCTTTAATAAGTTTATTCTATAAACTGAAATCTACTTCGCATACATCTGGTACATTACTGACCTATGAATCGCGTGGGCATAGACGCAGAAAAATAATCAAAATATCATTTTTGATTTAAATGAAGCATTTGCTAGTCTTCACTATTCAAATTATCTACTTTTGAATGAAGATCAGTCGTAATCCATCCCGACCCTTCTCCTGTAGTCAAAAACTTAGATTTCGATGTAATATCAGCTGCTATGTAGCGAAGAGAACTGCCAACCTTCTCCACTTTTAGGAAATTTTCATTTTTTTTCCAACAAAAATCGCCCTTATTATCGAAAAATGATGTTGCATGATTGATGACTTAGGAAGTGTGATAAAATGATAGAAGGTAGCTTTGCTGATGATTTTCTATTCAAAGCTAAATTGTTTACAATGAAACTACGTTGCTCAAATCAAAAGAGGTTCTCCTTGATCTATCATCAATTTCGTACTCATAGTTGACAATTGTTGACATATCTTTACTTTTCATTGTTTTTCAAATACATGTACATCAAGTTTTCGATTCTACAATATTGTGTATATATCTTTCTAGAGAACTTGAAGCACTTGTTTTTGGAAACAAAGGTGTTTCAATTGAGTAAATAATAGGAGAATCGTTTAAAGAATACTAACCAATCAATTCTTCACAAATCATTCCTTATTTGAATGTCACACGCCGATACATTAGTAATAAAAAACAAAATTACGAAAACCTAACAAATAACAAGATCATTGAGACTGTAGTTCATTGATTCGGGCTGTTTGCATCAATAATTATCATTGTTACATTGTTCAAAGCTTCTTTTCTTTCCTTTTGTAAAAAAGAAACCAATTGAAATAATCCATTCATGAGATATCCGGTACTAGTTTTTCCTCTCGATCACATGCTAAATATTATTGTCAGGAATGGATCATGAAGCATGAGAAAAAACTAAATTCAACTGCATTAGTACTGCACAAGAGAGAAGTGCATCACAGCTTACAAATGAAACAGGAGTGGTATGGAAGACGGCGTCAGTCCCAGGAAAGCGACGGACATGATGACCGTTAGAAAGGGTTTTGGAGGAGCAGTATGGCCATGTTTAACGTTAGCTTGAAAAATATTTTTCTCATATTTATGGCACTATACTATTTCTCAAAAGAAAAATATTTTTTTTTCAACATCCATCTATGAACAACAATATAGCATTGAATACATATATATTTATGGGCTGCTCATTCCAGTCGTTATCTATTCTGTAATTAAATTTTCACTTAGATTTAAGACGAATTTAAATAGTATGCTCATCACAGTGAAATTGACTAAGTTTTGAGTTAGACTAATTTGTTATGAAGATAATTTTTAATCGAAATTGGTTATAAGTTAAATCATAAACTTAACAAATGAGTATCAAAATGAGGTAAAAAATGAAGGTTATCTTAATAAGCACGAGTCTAGCAACAATTAAATGTCTTCTTCTAACTTGCAGCATTTGATATGCATTCTATTTTGACAAAGTCCTAGCAATAGAGTTTTAGGGGTTATTATGATAACGGCATGATCGCCTAACAGACATACAAGAAGAGAAATGGCCATGAAGCAACCAACAAAAACTGAATCATATGTGCTGTTAAACAGCAGACAGTGCACATCTCTAATACTCATGAGTCTTACTTATATTTTACTGTCGATGCTAACTAAGAAGTCATTATAAAAATTAACAGAGAAACATTCATTAAATGTTCCAAAAGTCTGTCTTGTTGATTGTTCTCTTGTAAAAAAGAACCCTTTTCAATAATAAGAATGTCATCTTAAGGTCATTTCTTAATATATATCTGAATATCTAATAGACATAAAATCTAGTTGATTCGAAAATAGTTATACCTGTTTTGATTGTCTCTATTTGTCTGCTGATCAAAAATCCACTGCCTATGAAGAATACTACTGGTGTGTTCTATGCCAGATGATTGACATTGAGCTGTTCTCAACGATAAATTTGATGACAGAATATTTTTCTGAAGAAAACTCATGTTGAAGTTAGAGCAACTGTTGACAACTTTTTATTGAGTTCTTTCTGTTTTTGTTGAAAATGTAATGTGAGTATGTATTATAATACGAACAAATAGTGTCGCCTATTCATGCATAATTTTATTTGTTATTGACTTGTCTGCACTATGCTTTGATTATGTTTAATTAAAAACTCTGTTCGAATCAAGAGAACAATATCGAAAAAAAAATCCGGCTTATTTATTAATATATTTTATTGTGCTAGTCATCATATAGACAGAGCTTCCATCCGATAGGCATTCTCTATGTAGATGAATTCATTAAAATTACATTTTGTTAACATGATCGAGGCATTTTTTGTATTTCTATCAATACAATAGAAAAAGGTATCGAACTGCGTAGAATCATTATATTAATTTTTTTCAAAGGCTTATTCAACTGATTTGAGTCTGTGACAGACAATCTGAAAGAAGTGTTGAAATAGGTTACAGGTTAAAGCGCACTTTAAAAAATGTCCTTAGTGAAAATGTCCCTTAGAAATGGTCCTGAGTAGTATAGTCCTTCGAAACAATATCTTTCACCATCAAAATACGCCGTCAGTAAAACGTGAGTGACACTCGATGATAACATTATTCAAGAAATAATTATTTATTATAACCAACTGCATTTTATTTTATTTTTTACTCGTAATAAAAAGAAAGAAAACTCACGTAATAATTTTTGTGCAGTGATTTATTTATTGTTGAATCAATCGTATAATTTTTTAATTTGCTGTAATCAAGGGCATTTTTGAAAGGATATTTTTTGAAGGACAATTCAGACTTTATTTTAGAAGTATAGAGGTAGAAATTTGAACCTCATCCCTCTCCCTCACGAACGTGTCACGCATCCTTAGTGCGAGTCTTCTTCATCACAGGCTTTATATCAACGGGTATTCGAATTTCACCGCTCGGCAAAATTCTAAGGATTTGGATAGGGCTTGACAAAAGTTGGATGCTCTTTCGCAAGCTATCATGAAACAATATGAATATATGATATATCTGAAGGTTGAAGCTAAGTGGTTAAGATGTGTATCAAAGCTTACACTCAAGATGTGCTTGACTATGAGCGAGCCATGTTTTTAATAAGAAAAAAAGGAGATTAATATAAAAGAAAAAACAGATAAAGCACAAATTAATGTTTGTCTAACGATGAACCTAATTAGTTCGACTCGGAAACATCATTCTTGTTTTTCTATCATTTTCGCCTGTGACAAACAGGTTCGTCAACAAGATGAGTAAGAGACTTGATTGTATCACCTAATGATCTTGTTTTGAATGTGTGTTAAAAATATGACTCACAGCCATAGGCACATCTCACCCACAACCTGGATTCATTGGTAATATTGCTTCTTCAAAAATCTGGGATTGTAATGTAGCTGTACCAGTTGTGACTGGCAGAAATCTAAAAATTATTCTCTGAAATCACATATAAAATTTGTGGCTATTACATAGACGAACATAATCTATCAATGTAGTCGATAGGAATCAGAGCTCGAAAACGAATCGAATCGAATCGAATCATTCGCCTATTCGGCTTGTCCCAGCCGAATCGAATCGATTACGAATTGAACATCATCATAGGCGAATCGAATCGAATCGAATAGTTCCTTTTTTTTGTCGAGTCGAATCGAATCGAATAAAGACAGTAAAACAGCGAATCGGATCGAATCGAATTGACCAATGTGCTGGTCGAGTCGAATCGAATCAAATTTTTTCTGACTCATTCGGTTGAC